GTGACAGAACGGATGAGCAGTGAGGGGAGAGAGAGGCGCCGGCTGTCAGATCCTGGCCGAGCGTCTCTCTCCTCACCGCTCTGCATTAGTTCTGTGACAGCGACTCCGCCCTTCCCCGCCGCCGCTCCTTCACTTCTTCTCCGATCCCCGCTGGGGAGAGCAGCGGGGATCCAGAGAAGCGGCGGGAGGAGAGGACATGGCGATCTACCAGTGATCGCTACGCGATCGACTGGTAGATCGCGATCGACCTTGTGGGCACCCCTGGTCTACAGCAAGAGTCTTGTAGGTCTTAGCAAGAACTCTGCAAGTATACAGCTCCTTTGCAAAGCACGTTGATCTGGAGACTTGCAATGCAGACTTGCTGTAATTGTGCAACAACATTGTGAAGCTTGGTAAGTTTAGCAAGTCATTTTCAAACTTGCAACTCAATTGCTTGCTATCTGGGATGTTTATGTGCTCCTATTTACACAGCATATCTAAAATAAATTATGTATATATTTTTTTATAATATTTTTACTACCACATAGATGTCCTTTTGTAGCCTTTTCAAGTGGAAGGAAACTCAGTCACCATAGAAAGACTAAAGACAGACTTGGCTTATTCTCACTCACATACAGTGCTTCTAGATCTTTAACCGTTTGTTAGGAATCACTATTCAACTCTAAGTTCTAAAGTCCCAGCATGTAATATGCTGTTATAACCTCAGCACTGTAATAGGAATACATACTAGAGTTGTTTTTGATAATGTAATCAAAGCTTACTCGAAAAAAATCCCTTTTATGTGGCGAGTGCTGCCTTCCGTCTGCCCATCTCTTTCAGCAACTTGGATTCCAAGTGTGCTTTGCATGTCTTTCCCTGCTGCTTGATATACAATCTCGATTTCTCATGACTACATATCCCATCATGCACTGCTTCCAGCATGCAATAATAATATTACATTGTTTCAGACATTGAGTTGTAGTTTAGTAGGCAGGCTCAGTGAGAGTTGTGACACAAATAAGTGCATATTCATCGAAGGATTTGAATGACTTTTAACAAGGGCCTAATTGTGATGGCTAGACGACTGGGGCAGAGCAACTCCAAAACTGCAGCTCTTGTGGGATGCTCCTGGTCGGCAGTGGTCAAGATGTTGTCCAAAGAAAGAAAACCGATGAACCAGCAACATGGTCATGGGCGGCCAAGGATCACTGATGTACCTGGGGAGCCAAGGCTGGTCCATGTAGCCCGACCAAATAGAAGAGCTACTGTAGCTCAAATTACTGAACAAGTTAATGCTGGTTCCGATAGAAAGGTGTCTGAACACACAGTGCATTGCAGTTTGTTGCATATGGAGCTGTGTAGCCGCATACCAGTAAGGGTGTCCTTGCTGACCCGTGTCCAAATCCAAAAGCTCCTACAATGGGCACATGAGCATCACAACTGGACCACGCAGCAATAGAAGAAGGTGGCCTGATGAATCACATTTTCTTTTACATCATGTAGATGGCCGGGTGCATGTGTACAAGGATGCACTATGAGAAGAAGACAAGTCGGCAGAGGCAGTGGGATGCTTTGGCAAACTCCCAACTTACAGGACTTAAAGGATCCGCTACTGCCGGCTTGGTGCCAGATACCACAGCATACCTTCAGAGGTCTAGTGCAGTTCATGCCTCAACAGGTCAGGGCTGTTCTGGTGGCAAAAGGGGGACCTACCCAATATTAGGCGGGTGGTCATAATGTTATGGCTGATCAGTGTGTTTGTAGATATGTATTGGGGTACTATAAATCATACTATAGGCAAAATGCCAAAAATAAAGTGCATCCATGGCTCCTCACCTCCCCACACTGTCACGCTTAGCCTCCTGACAGTTTCTCCCTTCCCCACTGGGCACCGGTCTGTATCACCTCCAATCCCCACTGCTCTCCCCCACCTGTGTCGGCAGATGAAGCAGATATCAGTGGGGACACAGACCCGTGCCCAGAGGCTCGGCCACCTTTGACGGGAGACAGGATGGAAAGCGGCGTACAAACACTCAGCGGTCAGTACTGATTGCTGAGTGTTTGTAAATAACTAGGGATATAGTATGCTTACTGTGTCCCCAGTTATGAATGAACAGGAAGTGATCTACATCACTTCCTGT